TACCTGCTCAAGGGCATATACCTGGGTTTCAGGTTTAATTCTCAGAAAGCAACCAATCAATGTGTCTCTCTCACATGGATCTCTCTCTCTTCCCCTGCCCCCTTCTATCCTCTCTAAAAACTAATGGAAAAAAAAATCCTCAAATAAAAATTAATCAATACAAACAAACAAAATCAAACATTAAAAAGATGTGGAAGAGATGTGGGTGCATTTTGAAGTCAGTTACTTTTTAATAAAGTCTTCTTAAAGGATTTACATTTTTTCAGCAAAGTTTTAGATTTAAACATGGACAATAATGACATGTAATATTTTATGTGGCTTTCTAAACTATAAAGGGTTCTGCTGGTCTTTAATGTCTAAGACAGCGTAGGAACCAGGGGCACTAAATCAGTCTTTATAGCTACTCCTTCTCAGCTTCAAGGCCAGAATCAAGTTGTACTCAAAAGCAGGGATTGATCACAACTGTGACCGGCATGGCAGCTTGTTAGTAAATACGTGGGAGCGAGCCAGTGCTCTGCCTGAGCGGCAGTGTTTATATTGCACCCAAGGAATCATTTAGGGGAAGAAAGCCGGCCTGTGAATAAGCCGGATGATGTGACTAATGGCAGTTCTGGCCCCAGCTTGGACGGTAGGGGCTCACAGCGTCAAACACAGCTCACTTTCGGCTCTTGCTCAGCTTGAAAGCTTTAGAAAGCATTTCCAACGAAGGGCCTCAGGGACTTTGGTACAAAAATGCCAAAAAACCTCAAATGCAGTGGTATGTTTATAAAAATCGCAGGGGCCCTAGTCACGCCTAAGAGAGGTCGGGGAAATGCATTTGTTTAACCTCACAAAGTTCTTGACCAGAGATTTTTACTCGATTTAATCTACATCCGTAGCACTTCTATAATTGAATAATAAGTCATTTATTCTGAAAGTTATGAGTGTGTTTCTAGCTGTGACCCAGGCAGCTCTGGCTATGTTCTCTGTCTCTGTCTCCTTTTTCAAGTGCAGTGACTGAAGGTTTTGGCCACATTTCCTTCATCATGGAGGATTTTTAATGCATTGCTCACCTGCTGTGAGGGAATATTAAGCAGCAGGAGCCCCATGAGCAGATCCTTTATGTGTGAATGGTGGTGTGGCTGCCATAGCAACAGTGTCACTGGATTGTCCCCTTTTACCCCTTAACTCTGCTTGGGAAAGACAGGCAGGTGGGAGAAAGAACTGGCATGTGAGGTGGGGCCTTAGAACTGAGAGGGAAACAGGATGGCCCGAGGCAACGAGCTGTGGATTCTGGGTTCCCCCCACACACCTGATTTCCTGCGGGCGATGTTTCTCGGCAAAGAGATGAGGATAAGGTTGGATGGACAGACTGGTACCAGGGCGGGGCAGCACCTCTGTAATCTCATCAGACTCCTGACATTAAAACCTTCCACCTGCCAGTGAACCACCAATAAACATCTCCTGCTTTGCCCTCTCCAGTGCTCCAGATTGCTGTACTAGCTGCCCCGTGACACCTCCAACAGGAGGCTGAAAGGTACCTCAGTGTTGAATTTCCCCGGCTCACTCCACTTCCTTATTGTCCTCATCTCCTCAATAAAGACAAAACCATTGGAACTGACTTTGGTTCCCTCTTCCCTCCTCCCTCTACATTAGCTTTCCAGCTAGTCCTGTTCACTGGAACTCCAAGACACATTGCAAAGACACTGCAAAAACTCTCTTCAGCTCCATAACCCCTCTCCTCCACCACAGCAGTATCCTCCTGGCTGTGGTCTCCCTTGGAATTGCCTTGTGAAATAGACCATCAAACCCTTCGCTAGGTGAAGTGGTTGGTAACCAAAATCCTACTGAGGTGGGTTCAAGAGAAATTCAATGTGGGGGAAGGAGCTAAGTCTTAGAGAGTGTGTCTCCGTAAGGCAGGTGTGGGTTGGCAGGAATGAGTTTTTCTAATATGAGCTGCTGAGGCATATTGACTTGCTGATGGTGTAAGCCTGGAGAAAGGGAGCACACGGTGATGCAGGGGAGAGGGGAGGCTGGCTGGGACTGTCCTTTTTGGTGTCCCAGCATGCACAGCTCATCCACAGCCATGGGAGGGAGGGAGGGATCTGAGTGTCTGCTCCACAGGTGGGCTTTATTTTTATTTTTAAGTATAGTTGGTATATAATACTATATTGGTTACAGTAGTCTCAGTGTACAATACAGTGATTCAACATTTTTATACCTTACAATGTTATCACCTCACTAATTCTAGTAATGACCTGTCACTAAGCAAGCTTATCACAATGTCATTGACTCCAGTCCCATTCACCTCTTCAACCCTCCCCCAGCAATTGCCTTCTGGTAACCATTTCTTTGGTCTCTCTATCAGTCTCTTTTTGCTTTGTTTGTTTGCTGGTTTTATGTGTGTATTTTTAGATTCCACATATAAGTGAAATCATATGATATTTGTCTTTCTTTGCCTGACTTATTTCACCTAACATCCATGTTGTCACAAATGGCAAGTTTTCATTCTTTTTTGTTGCTGTGTAGTATTCCATTGGGTGTATATGGAATATTATCTATCTATCACTTATTGGTTTCTTTATCTATCATTTATCTATATACATAAAAATCCAGTGACTAGAAAGCCAGAACAACCGATGGCTATGACTCCCACTGTGGCCAGTGAACCAGCCAGCCAACCTCCTGCAGCCCCTCCCCCTGGCTTGCCCCACCCCTGATTGCCCTCCCTCCCAATCAGGGCAGGACTGGCCAGCTGGCCAGCCACCTGAAGCCCCTCCCACAGGCCGCTAGCCTCTGATTGCCATCCCCACCCCATTTTCGGAGGAGCTGTGGGCAGCCTGTCCCCACCACCCCAATCAGCCCATGGCCCCTCCTTCAGCCAGCTTACTCCCGATTGGCCCATCTTATCCCATTTGGGGGTAGGGCTGGCCAGCCCACTGCCACAGCCCCACTGCACACAGCCCCTTCCCATAGCTGGCCCTGGTCCCAATCCCTCTCCCCCCCCCACCGCCCCATTAGGGGGCAGGGCCTGCTGACCAATCATCCATGGCCCTCCCAGCTGGCCAGGCTCTGATTGGGCCTCAATTGGTATGGGCCAGCCGGCTAACCTCCCACAATTTCCTCCTCCTGATAGGCCCAGTGGCCCTTATACACCAGTTGGGGCCAGAAGAGCCAGACCCCATCTGTGCACAAATTCCTGCACTGGGCCTCTAGTTATAAATAATGCTACAGTGAACATAGAAGTGCATATGTCTTTTTGAATTAGAGTTCTTATTTTCTTCAGATAAATACCCAGAAATGGAATTGCTGGTGGGCTTTAGATATGTGGGATGATGAACTGGCCTGAGCTTACCCTTCTCCTTTCAGAAGCAGGGTCATCAGCTGACAATTGGAAGAATAAGGAGGTGGGAAGAAGTAGGGGGACATATGCTTTCTTTCTGAACACGCCATGCACCATGAACATGGTCCTCTACCTGGAATACTCTTGGCTAGTGTTTCTCACAAGGCTTGTGACTTTGTGACGTTCAGATCTTAGCTTAAATGTTACCTCCTCAGAGAGACTTCCCCAACCTCAGAATCTGAAATAGCTACCCTGTCACTCACAATCACATCACCCTATTTAATTTTCTGATTAGCATTTATCACTGTGAGATATTTAGCTTGTTTATTTTTTACTTCTTTACATGTTTATTGCTCCATCTTTCACTAGAGATACTAGCCCACAATAGGAAAAAATACAAATGTGTCATGATGGAATAGGATAGAACCAGATTTGGGTGTATAAATTTGAATAGGCCTGGAATTAAATGTGTGTGTGTGTGTGTGTGTGTGTGTGTGTGTGTATGCGTGCGTGGTGGGGTACATTAGCAGCCAACTTAAGATGCAAGTGGTCTGTATTCTCCTAGGCAAACAGAGGATCTCTCATCCCCAAGTCCACTCAGCACTTGAACTTTGTAGCAGGTTTCCTGTGCCTAGTGCCAGTGAATTCAGACATAGAGGTCCAGATACCATTAGTAAACATTATGTAAATATCTAAATTGAGTGTATCAAAGAAAGACCTTTAAAATAGGAAATGGAGAGGCCAGGCTCTCCTCTTTAAACCTTAAATAGATGTGTGAACTGTGCCTAAAAACCCTGCTGGCTCTGCAGCCAGTGTCTAATGCCAATCTGGCTAAGAACAGGAAGTCTGTCAGCCTAAGGGCATATGCAAACAAAGTTTCAAAAGTCTGAAACAGCCTCCCTTTGTCTTAAAGTGATGATTTATATTATAATTCCTCTATGAAGATTCTAATATGCCACACAAAAAAATTCTTATGCAGTCTTTACAAATAAAACTAACAAAAAGATCCTCATGTACCTAGTTTAAAATGATGCATGGAAATATATTTATATTCTGTACATGTGTTTCTTCCCTAAATCTCTAATGATTGTACTGCAGTGCTGAGTTGTCCAGAATTGAACCAGTGTATCATTCTCTAAGAATAAGGTAGGAAGTGACTGTATATTTAACCAAGTAGCCCAAGACCACTCATCCTCCCAGGGTCAGGAAATACTAAAATAGTGAACAAAGATAAACTTCAAGAAGAAAAAGGATTTTCTAAGCCACCAATGTAACTCACCCTTTCAGTTAAGGCCATGGATACTTCAACCTTCCATCACCTTGCTGGCAAAGTCTAAATTTTTGGAACCAAATGTGGATTGATGAAAGCTAAGATTATTAAAAGATGTTTCAGACAGTTTCTTGTTCCACCCATAAAAAATGAGCTCATGTAGGTAAGATGGCATGCTATAAGGGGCCTATGATGACTGATGTTTCCTGGTTACTTCTCCTCAGGAATTATCAGAGACCTGGCAGGGACTTCAGTGGTTGTCTGCATCCTTTCCCAGATTTGTGTAATCACCACATTCACTGACCCATAAATTACAAACCATGTAATCTGCTGGGTGGGTAGACAGAGTTCTGGACTACAGCGTTTTCTGTTTTGCTTTTGTTTGTTTTTTGTTTTGTTTTTATTTAGGCTGGAGGAGAAAAACTAGATTCGGAAGAGGCACTGATCTATGAAGTAGATTTAGACGAAGGAGATGGTGTTGAAGGCGAGATGGAAGAAAGCACAAAACTGAAAATCTTCCGCAGGTTTGCCTTTGTGGCTTCCAAGCTGAAGGAGTTTATTGGCAACATGATAACCACCGCTGGAAAAGTAGTTGTGACGATTTTACTGGGTTCATCAGGTGAGAGTTTCCAGTCCTGGGTGGAGCACAAATGACTCTGGCGCATCATGAAAGCATTGGTGGAAGAGAAAATAAAGAAGGAAATAATTCTATTCCGTGACACCTGTATAATAGCTGGAGCTTCTGTAAGAGGCCACATGTACAGACCACACACATGCAAATCATTTTTCCCCGTGCAGCTCTAGTTTTTATATTTTAGAAAGTTCCTGTTAACTTCTGTAAGGCAATCGTTTTCGATACCTATCACGAGGCATCATTTTCTACGTGTAGATCAGAAAAACAACCATTCTTCCACAGAGCCTGTGAATGGTGACCTGGGACAATGAATAATTTTAGTGTACAGGTGTCTCTGAGAGCATGTCTGTATACATTGACTCATCAGTAATCGTAATTTAACTCTCCAGAATTTACTGTTTTTCTTCCTAAGTTACATTGCCATCTTCCAGCACAGATACCCACTTCCTTTAAATTTTGGTTATGGACTGCTGATACCATAATTATGTTATTTCAGTCTACTTTCTTCCTCTCCTCTCTCCCCCGCCCCCCGCCCCATTCCATAATCAATAGCTACTGGGAAGTTTATCCAATACTACCTCATTGAAACAACATAATTTTTTTAATGGGAAAATTAAAAAGTGGAAAAAAATAACAGAATGTCTCAATATTTTAATGAGGAGTCATTTCAAAATCCCCGCCACCACCACTTCCCCTAAAAGGTTTTTAATGCCTGTAAAGGAATTGCCTTGTTTTACATTCCCCTTTTTAGTGATAGTGCAAATTGACTTCTTCTGGTAGGACAACGTATTAGTGAAACTTAACTGCCACAGAATATAATATTATTATGACTCCTAGTTAACTAAAAAACAGGTAAATTATTATTTTTAAAGTGGTATTGGGAAAGTTGGAAGGGACATACAGTATTCCTGAACATTTTTAGGGAGAAACAAAAGATGGAAACAAGCAATTAAATATGCTGTATTCTGCTGATGTGAACTTGTGAGGTTTACTCTGCTCAAATACCATACATAGAATTTCTTCCTCATCTGGTATTTCCCCATATTTACAAATATCACTTGGTGTATGTGTGTTCATAATAAAAATAGCATTGATTTTGATTTTATAAACAAAATGTTGATTATTTAAAACCTGATCAATACCTAAAAATCAGTGGAGGAAATTTATATAATCTATAGTGCTTGCAGTTACTGAGTGGTAAATGATTTTTAGTTCCATGCAATGTTTCACGATTATATTTCTTCTTCCTTAGGTATGATGCTGCCCTCTCTGACCTCCTCTGTCTACTTTTTTGTATTTTTGGGTCTGTGCACCTGGTGGTCCTGGTGCCGGACGTTCGACCCATTGCTGTTCAGCTGCCTCTGTGTTCTCCTGGCTATCTTCACCGCGGGACACTTGATTGGACTTTATTTATACCAGTTCCAATTCTTTCAAGAAGCAGTCCCACCCAATGATTACTATGCAAGGTAAGAGAAGAAAACTCGTTAAGACACTAAAGGGGAGGCGGCCCTCTTACATGACGTGGTTTGAATTTGCAGGGGCTCTTCTTGATGGATGGGGTTCTTCTAGGGATGGGGAAGCAGTAAATGTATTGAGTGGCACAGTCTAGGAAGCAGTAGATAATCCATTCAGATGGAGGTGCTGCTGGGAAAGGAAAAAGGGAAGCTGCTGTTTGTAGCAAGCGAGCCAGATACATGGTCTCAGCTGTGGAAAGAGATCCAGGAAAAACATTTCATATCAAAGAATAATGATGACTTCTTAAAGCACCCACCTGGAAGGAGCTCTCAAAGGCCAAGTAGAGGACATATTGAGAATCAATCAATCAAAAGTCAATAATTGATTCTAAAATTTAAAAAATAAAAACACATGACTCCATGCTGAGAGAGAGAAATCTAATTTGCTTCAAATAAAGGTGACAAATACACATACTCCTTACGGTAAAAATGGGAATTAAAGATAAAGAATACAGCATTTACTTGGACTTTTTGGAGGAACTCTAAGCCATTCTAAGTTAATGAAAGAAAAGTCCTCTTTACAGAAAAACAATAGTTAATGAAAGGGAAAGGAATAATAGAATTAGAAAATTACTACTCATCAATGCTTAATGGCATACTTGTGTCTAGTTGCAAACCCAAACCATTACTTAATGCAATGAAGGATATTTGCAATAATGGCAAAGTATATTTTCACTAATTATTTACTAAGTACAAAGGAAAAAAATCAAACCCTTACAATGGTGGTTTAACCCCTTAACTAATTGATAAAAAATGGGATAGTTCAACATTTTACATTTCTAAATGTGATGTAATATGAGGTATATAGTATCATATCCTTAAACCTCTAGACCTAACCTCCAATTTGCAGAAAATATAAAAGATTGAAAATTAATTAAAATAACTCTACAGGAAAACAGAAAAATCCGGAATGTGGATTCTACAAGGCAAATGATCGCATCTTCTTTAAACTTAGCACAGATATGACTCTAGATTAGATCCTCCTTCAATGACAAGCCCCAAAGAGAAGTTTTGAGGTTAAATGGGAATATTTCAATATTCGTTGATTATTAGATGATAGTATAGAATTTTTGTTAAATCTTAGGAGTCTGATTGTATTGTGACTTTACAGGAAAATGTCATTGTTTTGGAGATACATGGTGAATTATTTAGGGATTAAATGTCATGATTTCTGCAACTTTCTACTAGCTTATAGACAACCATGGGAAGGAAGGAGGGTGGGGGGAGAAAAAAAGGGGAATTATTTCAATTTAGGTCATTGTCACTAGATCATTCATTGCCATATTTTAATTTTCTTTTTGTGTGGAAAAAAAAACACAATTAAAAGTTATGGAAAAAAGAAAAGGAAAGAGAAATGGCGAGAATGTCAGGATGAAGTGAAGACTATGCCAGAAATTTTCTCTCTGATATGTCTCTGGGAAGTCTTATAGGCACTGAAATAAAATAAAATAAGAAAGACAAATACTGTATGGTATCACATATGTGTAATCTAAATGAAAAAAAAAATTCATGTAAGCAGACTGTGGATTGGTGATTGCCAGAGCAGTGGGGTGGGGGGAATAGGAGAGTCTGGTGAAAGAAAATAAACTCAATTATGACATGAGTAAGCTCTGAAAATCTAATGTTTAGCAGGTTTACTATAGTTAATAACACTATATTGTATACCTGAAATTTGCTAAAAGAGTATATCTTAATCTCACCCACAAAAGAGCTATGCAAGCTGGTGATTGATGTTAATTTACTTGATTACAGCCAGAGGCTGTGAGATGCATGTGAAAATTATTTCCCAGAAAGATCACGGCCAACTTTATTGCATTCTCACTGCCACCCTCTGTGGTACATGTCCTTCAGGTATTAAATTCCCACTCCAGTGAGAAATGAAAGAGGCTATGGTATATGTGGCTCATTAAGTGTGATGTTGGCAAATATTTAGTTTTGCTGGAGACGAGTATTGGTTTTTAATTTATTTATTTAGAAAACTCAATAATAGTTTTCATCCCTGGTGGTTAAAATAAACATGGCTAAACTACTAAATAGCTTTCACTTTCCAAGGAATTAGAGATTTTCATTCATATTCAGTATGTTTCTTTGGGACCAGGTTTATTTCTCACTATTGAGAGACTTTGGATAATGATTCTTAATTTTAGGGGGAGGGAAGGTCTTGTATTAAAAATGGGGCTACTATCCCTGCTCCAGAGTGCTGTGGTGAATATTGATACACACAGGGTCTGCCCATGCCTGGTAATCAGAAGGCGATTAAGAAATGTTAGTTCTGCTTTCCTTTGGTGGTAGTATGTGTGTATGTCTAGGAAGCATACACAGTGTAACTTTTTAATTAAACAAACTGTTATATGAGAGGGTTGATAAGTAATATTTTTCCTTCTGATTTCAAGTTTACATGGCATTCAGTAGTTTAATAAAATCCATTTCAAAATAACTCTTCTCTCCTCCTTCATTAAAAGTCTAACAACTACCATTTTTTTCCTGATCAGGAAAACCAGACTGGGAAATTTTAATACTATTTAATTCTGTTTCTTAGTATTCTTCCCATACAATAAAACATATTCCTTAAACAAACCTAAATTGAAATATCATATACATATGAAATAAGTTGAAATTTAAACACACACACACACACACACACACACACACACATATATGATCCCTCAGCCCAGCTTGCACCCTCTTGTAGTCCGGGACCTCTCAGGGGATGTCCACCTGCCAGCTTAGGTCCATGGACATCCCTCTCACAGTCTGGGACCACTTGCTCCTTACCACTCGCCTGCAGCAGAGGCAGGAGAGGCTCCCACCATCCCATTGTGCTCATCAGCCATGAACCTGGCTTCTGGCTGAGCAGTGCTCCCCTTTGGGAGCACACTGACCACCAGAGGGCAGCAACTGCATCGAGTGTCTGCCCCCTAGTAGTCAGTGCATGTCATAGTGACTGGTCATTCTGCCATTTGGTTGATTTGCATATTAGGGTTTTATTATATAGGATATTGTGAGTAATTTTAATATTACCTTCCCATAGGTTTGTCATGAATATTAAATTAGTTAATATTTGTACAAAAAAATCCTAGAACATATAAAGAACAGTAAAGAGGTATTTATTAAATATATTTGTTAAACAAGTTGTCTTAATAGCTAATTAGGTATTGAAGGCTTTTATTAAAACTTTGATAATAATATGTAAGCATAGTCTTTCATATATTTTATCTGCAAATGTTGAGTTCAAACAAGACTTTTTATTTTAGGCAGTATATTTGTAGGTGCTTGTTACATTATTTAAAATTGCTATCATTTCTGGTAACTTACTGTGTAGGAGATACTTTGCTTAGTGCTTTGTATTTCTTATTAAATTTTTATAATAACCCTAGGAGTTAGTAGTACTGTTATTGTTATGCTTACAATTTATTATTTATTATGTTATAAATCCTCAAGTGAGGATTTTTTTCATTGATTTTTTTTAGAGAGTGAAACAAAGGGAGGGCCAAAACCGGTTTGGCTCAATGGATAGAGCGTCAGCTTGGGGACTGAAGGGTCCCAAGTTCGATTCCCTTTAAGGGCATGTTCCTTGGTTGGGGGCATATCCCCAATAGGGGGTGTGCAAGAGGCAGCTGATGGATGACTCTCTCTCATTAATGTTTCTAACTCTTGATCTCTCTCCCTTTCTCTCTATAAAAAATCAATAAAATAAAAAAATAAAAAAGGGAGGGAGGAAGTGAAAGAGGGAGTGAGAGAGGAACATATATGTGAGAGAGACTCATCTATTGATCTCTCACATGGGAGCCCAGATCAGGAGCCGGGGATTAAACCTGCAACCCAGGTATGTGCCTTTGACCAAGAGTCTTTTGGTGTGTGGGTGAATGCTCTACTAAGCCCACATAGGCCAAGGCTATGCTCATCTAGCTACACTAATAAAAGAGAAAGATGCAAATTTACAGTACCTTTGTGATGCCCACCAGCCAATCAGGAGTGAGTATGCAAATTAACCCAACAAAGATGGCCAGTAAATTTGCATACACAGGCTCCGAGTGGCCGGCAACCAGCAAGATGCTTGTGTCATCGCCATGGCAACGAGACAAGCATTCCACACAGTCCCAACCGTTCTGGACCTCTGGGCAGCATAGGAAGGCAGAAAGGCACCTCTGGGCCAGAGCAAAAAGGCAGCTCTCGCCAGAGCAAAGGCAGTACTGGTAGCCAGGGGAAGGAATGCCCATTCTTGCATGAATCTTCATGCATCAGGCCTCTAGTTTTTAAATACTGAGATTACAAAAGTTAAATAGCACATCGAGGCCATATGTTTATTAAATGACAGAATCAGGATTTGAGCCTAATCCTGCCTGACTCCAAAGCTTGTGCCCCATTAGCTATATGAGCATAATCACCCTCAGAAACTAGTAAACCTGTAATAATGTTTACTATTTTTCTCAAATACTTATGGACAATTTCTTCATACTTCCAGATTCCAATATGATTATTTTTGTTCACTCAGTCTTTGCACTTTCACTCTTAAAAGTACAGGGACTCTAATTTGAGCCCAGGTGAGGGACATCTATAGCCATAGTGACATGAGGCAGTCCATTCATATGCACCTAATGTAAGTGGACTGAGCTAGCATTTGGATCTGGGCAAGGAGCAGCGTTAGAGGATTCGCCTAGCAATGAAAGGCAGGAGCCACATCTAATTTATCTTTGTGTTCCCTCAGACCTGGAGCTCTGCCTAGCCTGCCCCGGGCTCTAGTGAACACTTGCTCAGTCAAACAAATAACTTGTTTTATATTTAAACTTCCACAATATTAAGAGGAATAAAGACCACACAGTTTAAAGTTATATCTTTCAAAATTTGTTCTAAATGATTGGTATTAATGAACGTATTACAAACTATGCCTGGATGGTACATTTAGGTTCTTTCAATTTTAAACATTAATAGCAAATTAATGATGATAGAAT